CACAGAATCTATACTTCCCATTCGCTTTTTTTACTAACAGCACTGGAGAGTTGTACGGGCTATCAGCTTCCTCAATAATATCATCTTTTAACATCTCTTGCACTTGTCGCTCCACTTCGCCTTCCAGATGACATGGAACTCTTCGCGTTAAATGACCTTACTTTCGGATCACTTAACGGAATTTCATGATTCACCTTATCGCAATAACCGTATGGGTCGCCATCTCCAGTGAACAGATGATCGTATTTACTAATTAACTCTGTCACATTGTGTACCGTCGACAGCTTAATCGCTGCTATCTCGCTGGTCTCATACATGTTGATATGCCCGTATTTCGTGACCACAACGTTCGCTTGCGTGTCGATTATGCACCAATCTCACGCAGAAAATCCGCTCCTAATATCGTTCGCTGTAGTTCGGGTACAACAATGAAAGGAAACGTCACCTCGCAGCCACCAACAACGACCGTACAGTTCGATCTACCCGTTATACGCAACACATACCCGCCTACTGTTTGTACTGTCAATGAACACGGACTAACACTCTTACATAAATTCTTATCTATTAACGACACGGCGGCCCCTGTATCTATCAAACATACTACTTCTCGATCATTCACTCGCAACTTCGAATACAGAGCCCCTTTCTCAATAGCCCCCACTAAATCTAGTTTCATACGAGAGAAAGAACAAGCATTATACCGTCTGAAATTTTTTCTTTTTCGCCTTTCTGGGCAGTATCTTCTCCAGTGTCCCGGCTTACCGCATTCAAAACACCGGTCTTTTCTATCAGCCAACTTTAACGCCGCCACTTCCCTCTGCAATGCTTCAATTTTTGCTCATATTCGTTTGGTTTTGGTTGGTCTATAGCGGCTACCGTTGTGCTCAGCAGCTGTCTGGTCACCTTCGCCAGCTCACTAATATCCATCGGCTGCGTTGAGTTAACCAGTTTTAATCGCTGAGAAATGTGGTCTGGGACACTCTCGATGCCGCCTTCGCTCGGCCTCCCAACAGCGTCACCAGGACAACTGCCTTCGCCGCCTGCTCCTTGACACCCACCAGCTCAGCAACAGCCTCGAAGTCACGTAAGAAGCTCCGTATGTCTCCTTCTTCAAACGCAGCTGGCCACGGGATCTTCATTTTCTGAAGGCAGCGACACAAAATGTAACAACAGAAGACAAGGGCGAGGCAACAGATCGTTTTATTATGAAAATCAACACGTATTTATATATATTTCACATACATTATTATAGCTTATGCAAGTAGAAAAAGCGCAGTCATCTGATTGGTTGCAGACAAACGCAGGCTTCTGATTGGTTGTTTCGGGATTCATTGACAAATAGAGTTCTCTATCTGCGAATCATATTTTGCCACGTTAACTTTGCTGTGATTGGTTGTTGAATCAGCCTTGTTCATATTTTCTCACGGCCCATATAAGTGACCTAGACATTAACGTAGATTAGTGTCAACCAATCGGCTAGCAGCCAGCTCTCACCACAATTGGTTGTTGAATCAGCCTTGTTCATATTTTCTCACGGCCCATATTAGTGACCAAGACATTAACGTAGATTAGTGTCAACCAATCGGCTAGCAGCCTGCTCTCACCATAATATGTCTGATTTCCCACAAACTGGAAATATGCAAGTCAAAAGCAAGAAGCTGGCAGAAGAAGCATCAAAGATAGGACTTCAGGTGAACGTAGATGAAACAGAGGTGATGTAAATTCCTGGACAACAGTAACAACAACAACAGACAATAATCAGCCAGCATAAATGGGAGGAACCTGAAGGAAACAACCTCCTTCACCTACCCACCTACCTGGGAAGCATCGTTTCAACTACAGGCGAAAGAAACTGACGAGGATATCAAAGTCAGAATCGGAAAAGCAAGACAAGCTTTCATTACTCTCAAATCTGTGTGGAGGTCAACAGCACTCAGCATCAAAAATAAGATCCGGATTTTCAACTCCAATGTAAAGTCAGTGCTACTGTACGGATCAGAGACTTGGTGCGTCAACAAGAGCATCTCAAACAAACTTCAGAACTTCATTAACAGTTGTCTTCGCTCAATACTCAAGATCAGATGGCCGGCCAGAAAAGATCAGCAACAGGGATCTTTGGGAGAGAACCAACCCAGCGGGAACCGATTGTGCAACAAATAGGCAGGAAGAAATGGAGTTAGACGGATTGGCCATACTCTGAGGAAACCATTAAGTGACATCACTAGACAAGCCATCGTTCGAGTGGAACCCGAAAGGGTGGCGGCGTGTTGGTCGTCATTGCGAGGGTGACATGGAGGAGGTCATGTGAATAGGAGATGAAAGCATGTGGGCAGACCTGGAGCGGGGTGAAAAAGTTGTCGGAAAACAGAAGGCAATGGAGACGCGCAGCTGAAGCCCTATGTTCCTCTAGAAACTAAAGGATACAATAATAATTATAATGATCTGATGATAAGTGGGCTACACGCTGTTCATTTACACTGGCGGTCTCACGAGTGTCCATACCTTCTACCATCACATCTGCTTTTAATGCTACTTCACCTATAAGTTGTACAGAACCTTTGTTCAACTCAGCGGTAGTAGGCATTCCCCTCATTTCATCATGATCAACCATAGACAAATGTGCACTATCATGATCATTGTCACAAATATTCGCTTTTTCGCCGATCGTTTGATCAACGTCATCATTTTCAAACTCCTCAATAACAGCAGTAGATGATTTGGGTTCTTCCTCACAAACCCTCAAAGGTTTTATAACTTTACTCTGACTAGTAATACCTTGAAAACTTGCGGAGTCAGAACTAAACTCTGAAACTGAAACTCCCTTCTTCTGCATAAACTACGGTGCCGTCTGTGACACTCTATTCAACAATGGCTTACCAGTCGCAACTACAGGCTTCTTCACTGCACCATTATCGTCGCACAATTCGTAGTCAGACCTTGATGACTCTGATCTTGCATTTAGCTTACCACTAAACTCGGTCACTTCTTCACAGTTCGCCTTTGCATGCACTTCTTGCAAACGGACGAAACACGACCGTGTTTGTCTCGCAACTTGCAATCTACCTGTTGGAGATGTCCCACGAAAGCTGTTACACTCACTAAGTTCATACACATTACTAGACACCATAAAGCTTTCTCGATATCCACTTCTCTGAGACCCTTTCGCCATAAATGATTGCGTTTTGCTCTCAGACTTCTCTATTCTAGGTGTATGATGCATTATACTAGCAAACTTGCTCAAAGTTCGGTTGACACTATCTTTGACCACATTCAAAATACCGTCGAGCTTTGCTCAATACGTTCATCCTCTATGCAAGGGCTTATCTTCACGCACTTTCTTTGCAGTCGAGTAGGTACGTGTCTCGCTGTTATCTCTAGGACTGAACCTGAGTTCAGATCACTAATGCAATTCATCGAAATCAACGTATTCTTATAAGTCAATAGATTATTGAAAAACTCAGGGAATGTCTTGGAGTCAGCCTCGAATACATTCCTTACAATCATCTGAGGTCTCCTGAATCTTTGACGCAGGATATGCATCGCCTCAATATATCTTTCGCTCGGGGGCATAACCTTACAACACTGTATAGCTTTTGAAACAACTCCAGTGCCATACCTCATCAAATACATCAACTTCATTTCATCATTTAATTAAAAACCACTTAACGTGATTTTAAACTCTCTGAAAAACAGTAAATAGTCAGCTGGGTTTCCGTCAAAACACCGAGGTTTAAATTTAGACCTATTATCGCTAGACTGAGAAACATGAACAACAGACTCATCATGCTGAGCATCATTCATTTCATTACAATTGGCAAGCATCTCAGCATTACCTACCTTCCTGCTTGCTTCGAAGACGCTTTGTCCCTTCTTTGATCCAGGCATCATTGAACTTGACCGAAAATTCCAGGGAAGGTCCAGATAATACTTGTCCAAAGAAGACTGGCAGGAACCAGGAAAGACGAACGGAAACTATCCAAAACTCTCAGAAACTGTCAGCCAACTCTCAAAACTGTCAGTGTCCAGCTCTTACTACGCTGGACCTCACGCTCTCCCTGGAAGACTTTCAGAAACACTTTGTATCAACCAACGCGAAAACCAGAGCACTGATTGGCGATGACTGCTTAATTGGGTTCGAGCAAGCAACCATGAACTGATCGTTCAATCTTCAACTACATCGACACCATCTATGGTATACTTCTTGCCGCAGTGGATGGTGGTATCAACACAATCTGATGCCATGTTATGCACTGAGCAATTACGATCTTTCGAAATTTCGTCCGACAATGTAAGTAAAACTAGTACCACATTTTCTCCTGAGTAATTTTAACTAGGAGCTACATCGAAATGGATATAATCACCAGGAAGTTCAGCAGCTTTTCTCATCCATTGCATGATCTCTTCGATTTGTTATGGAATATTTCAATCATCACGGATGATAATAAAGGTGTTTAACATCCTCAAAACGTACATCTAACTTATATATGGGGGCTTTTTCTCTTTCAAATGCCAGATTCTCATAGAATAACTGCTATGATAACAACCATTGCCTGTAGTCAATTTACAGCCGTAAGATTTAAAACAAATTGCAAATTACGAAGCTTTAAGGCTCTTAAAGGCAAAGATAGTCCTTCTTTGCGAAAGTTCTTTAAAAGGAAGACTTGTTTTGTAATATATCGTCTGGTATACCAAGACACTTTCACCCATTAATACGAACGCACTACAGGCAAATGTCGCTTTTTTCGGCTATAGAAGCCGAAAACTAGTTAGAGCATAGCCTATTTTCACAAAACTGAACGATAATAACGCCTCTATAAGAATGAACGCGATAACCCATACAGTGCGCGAAAATATATCACGATAACGTTTATCTTCACCCATGCATCCCTGACTGAATAATTCTTAATAGGCACGCCCATTGCATGTCAGCTGAGCTAGAGCAAACAGAAACTAGTATTTACCGTATATCGACAAGTGCTGTGCAGACGTGTGAAGCTTTAACTAAGGAGTCACCAGGATTACGAAAGTGAATCGGGCAAGCGCTGCATATAGCAGACACCAATTTTGTTTGTATACATCAGATCACAAATTTCACCAGGTCACAGAAATGATACTTTACAAAATCGTAAGCAGATGTACATTTTTGAAAATCTCAACTGGGATGGAAAATATGACAAACATCTGATTTCCGTTGGTAAGAATATTATCACAACTAATGTTAAAGACGGTGATACGAAAAGTTTGAACTCTTCAATTTCTGATAAGGTCAGACAAGGTATCCCGGAGAAAAATATATGTTCATTGTTTTGTGGTGGGTCAAAATGTAAATATTGTGACCCACCATCACACTTTGATGTTTCAAAAATGCAAATTTATGGATTGTACTCAACATGGTAGTTTTTTCATTATTAACCGGGTTAGGATAACACCAAATATCTTAGCGTCGTCAAGACCTAGTCGGGATTTGGTGGACAGATTCGCTATTATTGATCAGTTTCAAAAGTAAAATCCGTTGTAAACTTATTTTTTGAGGATGAATATATGCTCTATATTTAACATGCAGACACCAGGGGAGCACAGCAGTTGTGGTTACGGTGTGCTGAGCTCTGGATTTTCATATGAACCATCACAATTTATGCAGAGAAATAGTGAGTTTCTTCTCATCTTAAAAAAAGTTATGGGAAGTATTTTTTTATAATTTCAGCTGGTTTGTCATGATTTCATCCTTGAACACCAAAATGTTTAGGTGTGATTATGGTGTTGCTTCACTCTCTTTTATTCTCGACACTGTAGTAGTTATTCAGTTTTCAATACTGAAAGGAAAAGTCGCTATTCACTGCCACGCTGGCCTCGGTTTGTTGATATATACACTTAACATTTTTAGGTCGAACTGGTGTAATAATTGCCTGTTACTTGGTATTTAATAACCGCATTTCAGCTGGTGAAGCCATCCGGTATGTCAGATTTAGAAGGTTTGTATGTAACGATATAGTCATTGTCTTTCTCTAGACCAGGGTCTATACAGACACAAAATCAGGTCGAAAGCATTTATCAGTTTGAAAAGTTCCTACATCTTTATCGAATAAACTTTGGTTCACAGTAGGTTCCCTTGAACTCTCATTAAAATGAATTAGCGAACAATTTAGCTTAAGTACATATTTGCAAAGGCAAAACGCCCTATTCCACGGGTCAGAACGAAGGAAACTTAGAAATATTCCCAAAGTAAGCTAATTTTTTAAATTTAGCGAAAAACAAATTTATTATTCTATGGGTACTTTACAGCATACTTATAGATATAATGCCGTACACATCTTTTGCACAGCTATATATATATATATATATATATAGGTAATGATATTCTTGAACCAAGACAGCTAATGTTTTTATGCAAAATGTGTTGCACAGCTATTTCAGTCATGTACTGTGTGAACTCCTTAGATGAAAACCAAATGACAGCATGTTATCACCATTTCGGCGCCCGTTTATTTTTGTACTGCACAGAAATACTTCGTGTAAAAGTGCACAATAAAAGCATGTTGTATTTGGTCGACAAGTACCTGCTTCACTGATTCGGCCCAACCCTGAAAATCGCTTTCAGTTTGTCGGCTTAACTCCTTTACACTATGTCATAACCGCTGCACACTACTTATTATTTTAATGTTTAAATAATCTTATTCTTTTGTCTTCACTTCAATGTAGTTGTGCTCATTTCAGCGACTATCTATATATAGTGAACTAAAATTCGATCATTCACTCTAGGAGCTGCTTTGTTTGATTCAGACCTCATCTAATATGCGGACTTTGTTAGAATTTCCCCTAGTTTATCAGTAAAATATTTGACAAACACATTTATTCGCACAAGAAAGTTTACCTTGTGTAAAATTTAAGGAAATATTTGAACCTGTTAGGACGAATAGTTTCATTAAGTTAAAGAGTTGTCGAAATTGTACAGTTGCATGGTAATGAACTTTTTTAAATGAGAGTGATGAATATTTGTACATTTATCAAACAGTAAAATGCATTTACTGACTTTCACTATTTTTAAATTCAGATTTTTATCTTTTCATCCGAGCTCATATCGCGTGTTGTGGCTTTTAGTATAACTATCTCTTAGGCTTTCGACAGATGGGCATATGCAGTTGTGTCTTTTTTGATTAAATTTTCATAGTTCGTTATAAAACACACCTATATTAAGTGACAGCCTGGTTCCGATCTCTTTAAGTTGGGTTAATAGATAAACCAGTTGATTGTTCGTTTTTCATCCCTTTGAGACTAAGAAGTATTGTATAAGAAATGCTGCATTGTTTTTTCATCATAGGGAGTTTTTAAACATTACCCAACAATTGAAAATGTTGAATATAAGCCTTAAGAGGAATTGAGAATACCTCAAAAGTTGAATGACCACTAGATGAACTTCAAAATTCAGTGCATTCTATAATCAGATCAATGGCTACTTCACCTACATCGCGAAGTAAACTTTTTCTAACAGCAGGTTATCACTTATTATCACTACAATAATTGTGATCTTAATTACGAACCAGATGTCTCTTTTAGCTTTCACACTAATTAACCACTAGGTGGTATTTAACGTTTATTTTATGGACAAGCAGAAGCTTGATCACTCAGGTGACTGATTATGGGATTCACTTTATGCAAATACAGTAAGTTCACGGAGTCGAAACGTTAATATTATCGACAAAAAATACTCGTCTAGACATAAGAAAAGAACAACACAGTTCAGCAGAGAGTTTCTTCTGAGTGAACACATCACAAAAACAAATAAATATCTACGTATATATGTACAAATCGCAAGGATAAAAACTAGCTAGGAGCATTGTTTAAATCGTCAGAATATTTCAAAACAACTGTGAATAATCACAATTCTAATAAGAGGGTGAAGACTAGTGAGTTTAGACTAAGGCTAAATAAAATGAGAAACATTCTGAAAGACTGGATGTTAATATAAGAGCGCGGAGACAAATGAAATTGTGGCAGGTGAACATAGTAAACAGTACGTTAGTTAAGAAAATGATAATAAATGTCACACGAATAGTACACAAAATATTACCATTACCAAAATCTCCATAATAGTAGGACTAGGAATTATACCTAAAGTAGAAGGAAGGAATGGAGAAGTTTCGTCTGTGTACATAAATCATGGTTGTCCAGAACGGGAAAAATATAGCAAAAAGATCCTCTGTGTTATGTGAGTTGACATGTGATGAACGCCAAACATTCACTTACTATATGGCTATGTTTACGCGGAAGTGAATACATGGCGTCCATTCAAATATAAGCCTTTAGAGATGGCTAAGGATTAGCAGAATTATATTGAAAGCTTGAGTCACTATGGTAATTAAACCAGCGGCCTATATACTAATACACTATCGCTTTGTCAAATGAGCAGATAAACAACTTCAATCAACGTCTATGGAATAATTCTTTTGTTTTTGAGCTTAAGAGAAATATTGTTAGTGGATATTTACTGCTTGTTGGTACTGAAAGACAGAAAACGAGTTAGTAGATAAATGACTGTAATACTCACTCATTTATTCTACGAGTTTGAGGTCAATTTATTCACTGATATCACTGGTAAAAATAATGACTGAACTTTATTAAAATGCGTATATTCAAAAGACATCATGCAAATACCTGCTCTAATGAGTTTTCACGAGCCTATCAAATGAAAATAAAACTCTGATTGCCAAATATCCTTTCATTGTTAAACTGTCTCGCAAATTGTATTCATCGTGTATATTAAATTGGCGTCGGTGGTTCTGCGGTAGAATGCTCGTCAACCATGCATATGGTCTGGTGTTCGATCCCCGGCCAAGGTACTTCTAAACCTTGCTAATCTGACAGGAAGGCCAGTAAAGAGCGAAGGATTGGCGTGACTCCAGCAACTCAACCCTGTAAGAGTAAAGCTGCAGCTACCGAAGTTTCAAAGCTCTAGCTCGAAACCCTACGTTCTATTTGTAACGTAAAAGAATAAAATATAAACACAATGTATTAAATTGAAGTCGTACCCAGATGTAACCTGAATTTGAATAACCCTTACCTATCATTTGCAGTCCATTTATGAGGACGGGAGTGAGGCAAGGCTGTCTACTATCGCCAATGATTTTCCTGATTGCAGTAGATTGGATAATGTGACAGACAGCGGGCAATGAGGAAACAGGCATAAAATGGACTTACACGAAAAACTTGGAAGATCTGGACTTCGCCGATGATATATGTCTGATTTCTCATAAACTGGAAGATATGCCAGTGAAAAGCAAGAAGCTGGCAGAAGAAGCATCAAAGATAGGACTTCAGGTGAACGTAGATAAAACAGAGGTGATGTAAATTCCTGGACAACAGCAACAACAACAACAGACAATAATCAGCCAGCATAAATGGGAGGAACCTGAAGGAAACAACCTCCTTCACCTACCCACCTACCTGGGAAGCATCGTTTCAACTACAGGCGAAAGAAACTGACGAGGATATCAAAGTCAGAATCGGAAAAGCAAGACAAGCTTTCATTACTCTCAAATCTGTGTGGAGGTCAACAGCACTCAGCATCAAAAATAAGATCCGGATTTTCAACTCCAATGTAAAGTCAGTGCTACTGTACGGATCAGAGACTTGGTGCGTCAACAAGAGCATCTCAAACAAACTTCAGAACTTCATTAACAGTTGTCTTCGCTCAATACTCAAGATCAGATGGCCGGCCAGAAAAGATCAGCAACAGGGATCTTTGGGAGAGAACCAACCCAGCGGGAACCGATTGTGCAACAAATAGGCAGGAAGAAATGGAGTTAGACGGATTGGCCATACTCTGAGGAAACCATTAAGTGACATCACTAGACAAGCCATCGTTCGAGTGGAACCCGAAAGGGTGGCGGCGTGTTGGTCGTCATTGCGAGGGTGACATGGAGGAGGTCATGTGAATAGGAGATGAAAGCATGTGGGCAGACCTGGAGCGGGGTGAAAAAGTTGTCGGAAAACAGAAGGCAATGGAGACGCGCAGCTGAAGCCCTATGTTCCTCTAGGAATTAAAGAAAATGATAATAATAATAATAACATCACTTACAGTCCAGTTATGGATACAGCTTTGGCTAACTAGAAACTGAATTAGGCCGTCTCAGTCAATAAATGTAGTTTGCTTAGTTTAGTTGTATTATTCACTTTGAAACCATCAGGATTTTACAGACCACAGTATTTTCCTATAAATGAATGATTCTTGCGGATACCTTTCGTAAAGTTCGCAATTTTTCACTGGTTATATGCATTCTCCAATCAGGTGATTTTATTGAATATAGATCTCGGTACTCAGTTCACATTGCCCATCTAAGACCGTTTGTACCGGTAGGAAGCAGTACCGAATTAGTGTTAATTCGACACTACATCTGGTTCTACTGAACATAAAAGACTTGTGTAATTTAACGTAAGAAATTTCAAACGATATATTGTGCCATTTTTCAATATTTACACATAACTATGGTGACGAGATGTATATTCGTTACGCTAGATTGGTCAAAAGGGTTTTTATCCTTCTATATCTAATGTAGGTCTTATATTCATTCGTGTGCATCAGCAAGGCTGGTTTTTCCTGAAGATTTTCAAAGACGTTTGCAGTCAACTAAAAAAATATCTGCACAGAATAATTTAACTATTCAAAAATTATAAATTATAGGGAAAATAGATTTTGGGATCCACACACACACAAGTGTATTATGAATCTAAATATATGCATTCCAAAGAATTAAAATATCAACTGACATTTGCATACATACAGCAGAGTTTAAAGTACTTCTTTAGTTCTCTGAAAACAACTGAAATCTCCATGTCTAACACACTTGATTCTCGTTTACTGTCTTATCTTGCTTGCTCTCCCAACTTTGATTGTTTTTTTTAATTGTATCGATGTAAAATTTGACAATGGGAATGACAGTTCTGAGGCACACCTTGTTTACAATAATACTGATTTTGCTTTTCTCTTTCTGTGTTGATGGCAGTTTCAAACAGCTGAATCGTTGACAGGGTTTTATTTTCCCATTCTAAATTTGATTGTTAGAGAATATTTCCTCCAATTAATACTTTTAATAAGATGATTTGCAAAGGTTGGATTAAGCTGTTCCTATGATAGGAGAGAAAATGTCACCAGTGTGAGCGAAGAACTGGTTTAATAGACAGCAGCTAAGTATATGTTATTTCTAGGGTCTAGAAACAAAATAGTATATATATATATACTTATATAGATTAGAGACGTTAGAAATACGGTACAATCTCTTTACATTAGAAACTGAGCAACCAGTAACAACTGATAATTATGTCTAACCACCGCTAGAAATCAGTGTCCGTAATTTTGTACATAAATATATACATCAATGTAACAACAGACACCCAGAAAATTAATCGATAAGTATATAGACGCCTAAAATGCGCGCTTGGTATACTGAAACAGGAAAATCTCGACTGAATAATGTTATGAAAATGGTGCTTATATATATATATCTGAAAATTGAAATATTCTTCTCTATTAATTGCTTGTTACCTTTTAGAAAAATTACATAATTATTCTATGGAATTAAATAATAATATAAAATGGTGGGATTCGATAAAATTCCTATTAAATTTTGCCACTAACCGACATCTGATAGAAAATCATAGTGAACAAAGCCAAAGGAATAACAGACATCTATTGCTTTCTGCTTTGAAACTTCCTACCACTGCGCAACCATTCATTGATGACCATCTTTGAGATAGGCTTTTCAGTATTTTATTGAGAAATCCTAACCGATAAGATCTGTCTAGGCAGTAATGAGGACAGATAACAGTCGTCATCTATAATTACACCTACAGGACTCAAGGTGAACATAGATAAGGTGATGAACATAATCAACCACCACTAACAGGAACAACAACCGGCACCAATCACTACCAATAGGAGAGATTTGAAAGACGTTATTTCCTTCACTTATCTAGACAGTAAACATTGTGTGAATCACAGCCAGTCGGAACGGATGAAGATGTCAAAGGCAAGACAAGCTTCCATCAACTTGAAACTAGTATGAAAATCTTCTACTTCACTCACTCAATCAACCAGCATAAACAGCAAGATTTGAATTGTGTTTAGCTTAAATGTGAAGTCAGTCAGTTCTTCTATACGGGCGAGAAACTTGCACTGCGTGTTAGTGACGAAAACGATTTCCATTAAGTTTCAGACTTTTATCAACAGTTGACTTCGTCGGCTCCATAGTGAAGATCAAATGATCAGCCAGAAAGAATTACCAACAAGAAACTTTGCAGTGGAACAGACCGATAAAGAGCCGATCGCTCAACGAATATGTATAGGAGAAAATGAAGGCAGATTGGGCATACGCTGAGGAGGCCATCTATTAAAATCGCGTGCCATGCTACCATTTGATTGGAATCACAACGGGAAGTGACTAGTTGGTTGTTCTGTGGTGAGATGGGGAGATCGTATAGCGAGGAGGTGGAGATGAGAGATTATGGTCGATCGTGGACCCAGATAAAGAGTTCAGCACCAAATAGAATGAAGTGGATATGTGTTACTGAAGCCCTATGCTGCACTCGGAATCCAAGTAATAGTAATATTACGCTTGCAAATTTTCATATCACATCAGAAATATTAATATATCACTTAATTTCACCTCTTTCACTACATTTTAAGTATAGTACTTGTGACTGTTACTTTGTAGACTGAAAATGCATAAAAACAGGAGAAATTTCAGAACTATTGGAATGGAAATGGCAAAAATGGATACTTACTGTTGAATTCCTTGTTGTCCCTCTAGTTTCATGATCGGTATTGTCCATTATTTAAATTTTTTTAGAAAAAAAAAATAGAAAATTGAAGTCAAAGAAAACAGAGTTAGTGATTTGATTTCTACTAGCTACTATTCGAAACTAATTGGATGGTTTCTTTGCTATCTCTTCACAGTATTAGGTTACCGAACTAGAAAAAAATGAATGAAATTTTGAACTTAACATACAGAAAAAAAAAAATTTCTTCACTTCTGATAACATGAGTTCACTTTTAAATTTCACCGTTTCATATTACAATAAGTTTTTCTCATTTTGTTCGAGGTAAAGATTACCTTTAAAATGATTCTGTAACTTTTGTGCATTTAAATACTAAAATTTTATTTTATTTTTTTTAGATTGTATATATGTGTTGCAAACTACTTGTCAGATATGCTAAGACAGGATGTACATCAATACAAACGAATTCACCAGACTTTCGATCAGTAACCAGGTGAGATAAAGAATAACTCGTTACCAATTGAGTAAGCTTTTCACTTTCTTAAATTACTTTGTTTTTGAACATACCATTTTGAACATATCAGCTTATAGTAATCTCTGAGATGTTCCCAGACCCGGTGGACCCAATGAAACAAAATAATATAATTTACAAAATACCCTGCAATGACTGTGAGGTCAACTATATAGGTCAAACTAGTAGATCGAGGGTAATCAGATTAGAGGAACATAAGAATTTGGCTAAGGTAAGAATGGTTGACCCCGAGAAGGTAAGTAATTTAGAAAAAAGCTCAGCAATTGCACTACATGCATGCATCAACACACAATCACATAATAGGGTGGGAGAGGGCTATGATTCTAAGAAGTAATCTATGTAGGCGGAGAGAGAGATTGGTTACAGAATCCTGGTTCATTGAGTCTACACCCAACACAACACATGCAACAGAAATGACTCAATGCAAATACCAGAGATATGGAAGATATTATTACCGGCAGTCATATCAGAAGAGGATAATAAATAATCTTAAAATTCTATTTCAATTCAAACACATCACAACATTCTAACAAGTAACTTATTATGACTATAAAAACACTCGTCTTATTTCCCATCTGATTGTAATTGGTCAATAACACTCATATTATATGAAGCTCTGAATGTACATTATCTCATATTGATTTTTATTCCAATATCTAGTGAATTCCATACATGTATATAAATGAAGGAAAAAGTTGTGTGAGTAATTTGATATGATTATGTGCAATAGTTTGTGCTCGAAACTTCATCAGTTAGTATTACCGTGTAACACTGTGTGATTTATCAAAATAAAATCTTATCCATAATGGAGTTATGCTCTACCACAGTGCCCCAGTTTTATACTTTTGTCAGTCAAATATAAACCGATTATGTCGTACAAACGAGCTGGTGTTGTTGCTGCTCTTTCTATACACAAAGAGAACCCTAATTCGTGTACACAGAAGCGGTTTGTTCTATTCGTGAGATGCAGTCTCACATTTTTGCTATCAACAGATATTAAAAATTCGTCCGTACAGGAAATTGTGTGATGTTTTGGAACACTTTTTAAATGTAAAGCTTTGAAATGAAGTTGAGAAACGAGTATTTTTCATTGACCTGTCTTTTTACTGTATATATATATATATATATATATATATATATATATATATATAAATTGATTAGCAGTTAGTAATTACTACTGTTGAATAGTATACTACAACCATATACAATGTAGAAGTCAACAAATCTGTCATGTGCTAGGCGGTATAATGCTTGTCAACCATGCATGTGGTCTGGGGCTCGACGCCCAGCAGACACAGTCCTTTACCTCAGCAAGCTGGTAATAAGAAAGGTAAAGGAGGAAGGTTGAGTATGAGGCTAGCAACCCCACCTCATAGAAGAAAAACCGCAAAGCTCTAACTGGAAGCCCTATGTTCCACTGAGAACGTAAAGGAATAAGATTTTAAAAAATAATAAATCTGTCATATGAAGTGTTTTGAAGTCCGAGTGTACTATTGTAACAACAGAAGGCAAGAGTCAGGCAACAGATCCTTCATTAAGGAAATCAATACGTATTTATATATTTTCATGTACATTATTATGGCTTATTCAAGCAAACAAACACACTCTTCTGATTGGTTGTTTCTCACAGATAGTTGATCTTGCATCTCTTTGTGACTGTTTCTTGCATGTCAGATCATCTATATGTTAAGTGTATCTGCCTACTCAAAGTCTCCTATGGTTGGTTGTTGAATCAGTCTTCGTTCATATTTTCTCACGACCAATATTTGGGACATAAACATTGACGTAAATTAATGTCTACCATTTGGCTAGCAGCCTGCTCTCACCACACTATATCTGGCGTCAAATATTTTAGGTAACCAGTGTTAGGTTTAATGACCACTTAGTGAGGCAGTATGCGTTGTTTCTCTTCTAGTAATCACGTAGTACTCGTCCGTGTCATCAAGTGGAACAGTTTGTTAAGGATAGCACTTTCTGGTACAGACCTCAACCTAGAAATTGTAGGTTTTCTGAAGGTTTTTATTTTACATCAATGGTAATTAATTCTTTGAAAGAGAAAAAAAATATTGAATCCGCTAAATGACTTTTGACATCTGATGATATGAAGTTATTTAATTTAATGGTCACTCTGAAAAATTACCTAATAAGCTTTCATCATAGTTAAATGAATTAACAGGCATACTGATTACTATTCAATTCCTGTTTCTTTCATTAATTACTTTATCACCTTAAGTGGCTTTGTTTTATACACTGATGGGAAGATTAATGGCAGCACTAACAATTAGGTAGTGTAATGATGATTGTCTACTGAATGAATCATCTGCTCAAACATCGAATCAGTATATTGACCTACTTCGTCATTTATATCATACTGAGCAGAATATTCACCTACAGTTATTAAATAAGACCAGCTTCATTCATTTTTCTAAATGATATTCAATATCGTGTTTACAGAGATGGCCTATTACTTCACAAACGTTCTGTTACCCTGTTGGTTGGAAATATATAATATTAACCCAGGTGTTATTTTTCTATGAACTTTCATTTGCCAAAGTGAAATTTTTATTTTCTATAGTTCGGTTTGTAAGGGTTAGTTATTTTTGATTTTTATATCTATTCGCCCCTTTATTCCTAACTGTTTTGGGGTTTAATTTATAGATGGTAACTAGCAGTGGAATCTAGGATGCTCATTTCGTCCTATTTGGGACTGATTCGTCATCCGGATGTACCTGCATTTCCCAGTGAGTAGTGATGTTCCCACCCGTCGCACAAGAAGTGGCTCTCGTAACCCAAGTAGTCTAGTGGATAACGCTTTGGCATTCGAAACTATGGGCACTGGATTTGAGCCTCGGTAGGAACATCATCACTCACTGGGGAATGCAGGTACATCTGGATGCCAAGTCAGTCCCATATAGGACGAAATGCGCATCCTGGATTACCCTGCTAGTCACCATGCATAAATTAAATTCAGATTAAATTCCCAGACATCGTTGAAGCATCTGCACAAGAAGCCAACATGTCAACCTGAGACCGAGCACTTCGGTCCAATCAATCGACGGGAAAGTCTAAAATCCAATTAAATGTTTTACTTTTAATGTTATACTCTTGCCAGGCATTGTATTTTGTTCCATCGGTCTCTTTCTGTCAGTCTAAATGATGACCAGTTGCATACCTCTACAGAAGGATATCAGTTGTCTCAATTAAACAAGTTTCCTGTGGAACAAATAAGCCCTCATGATTTCCGTTACTTTTCAGTCATCTTCCATATGTCTTAGAAGGGTCGCACAAAGCTACTCATAGATCACAGACACTGGTTCAACAGAATAATAATGGTAATATTTAGGACAAATCAAAGTTATGTTGTTTTATTACTAAGTATTTTATCCATTGATAACACTGTGAAACAATCATATTATCAAAAAGTACAGAAGCATTTGAGTAATTTAATCAGCTTGACAAAGAAATTATAGACGTGACGATTAAATAATACTTTAAAGAACTCCGTCTAGAGATCTCTCTTTCCTGACAGGCATTGTTAGGTGGCAGAGAATTAAGCTGGAAGAAAGTTAGAGATGATCAGGTGAAAACATGGTAGTTAGTTAAGGTCACATTAAATGGTATAGACTGTCTGTTTTGGCTGGCTGAAGTGTTATGAATTGGTGGTTTGAAGACTGACGGTGATACAAATTAAAAACCTTCTCAGTGGTGGAAATATGATCTTCCAAATTCTGAAAATATTGATTATTTACCGTGTAGTTATTTCTTCATCTTCACATTTCTGCCGTTTTGCAGCTTCCTTGCAAATTTCTTTCTCTATCTATAATGAATTATGGTAACTTGAAATTGTGCGCTTTTGTGGAATGGTTTGTATTGGTCTTTTGCTTAAATAACTTCATTCTGTCGTCGATTTAGATTTCATTTTAAATAGATCACGGTAATAACTTCCTGACTTTGTATGCATGTTAAAAATATAATGAAGAATTACAGTTTGATAAACTTTGTGTATTTCTTTAACAAAACTGATGTGATATTCGTCAAGTATACGGCTTTGCGTGAGTTTTCTCTCGTTTCAGTGAAAGACGATACGTCTGAAATTGCATTTTTCTAGGATCATTTCTACTTCGTTGAATGATTGAATAATTTATTTCATTTGATGACGTTTATACTGAATACAGTCTACTGAGATTAGTAATAATGTGAATATTAATTCACTTTACGTGCATAATAAAATTCACATGTGTGGTTTTCGAAATGACCTTAGGAAAATACAAAGAGTAATCTACTTCATGGGATACATCGCCATCAAAATCATCCACCTGAAATATAATTAATTATTCACAACGATTCTGTAAATCCAGTTAATTAGTGTTAACAACTAGAAGATGTGATGTGACCCTAAATATGTCTGTTGTTTTCAACCTTAACAGGCACATCTCATCATTGTGTGCACAAACTCAATTACATCAACTTATGCATATGTAGGTCACTATGCAAATGTGGTGTGTGTTTAGAAATTACGATCTGTACACATTTTGTGTAGCCACTATTATTTCCTATTAAACTGTTGACAATGATAGGGTTTTTTTTCAACGAATTCATTTAATATGGTTGATATAAAATTACTTTTGTAAAATCTCAGCGAGAATGAAATGAGTAATTCCAACGTTTCGTTCGGTAAACTGGTTCGAACTTCTTCTGGGAAATTAATCGAAATTAACATAACAAAGTTTATATATAAAAGGGACATCTCTTGTTTTTAAAAACTTTGTCAAATCATGAGTCATGAAACAGATATCAACTTGTATAATAAACGAAATTGTATGAGCTGTGATCAAAATTTGACCTCGGACTTACAGATATTGGTCTACTTTTGTTAAACACTTTAAACAGAGTGTGCTTTTCATCAGAATTTTAGTGATTACGTTCAAATAAAAGTTCATGGTCTTAGATAACTGAATATG